ACAAGAAGGCACTGGAGGCAGCAAAGGCAAAAGCTGGTAAAAAAGGACCTTTAGGTTAGTACAGAATAGTCTTCTCTGGCATTATTTGATGTCTCTTTAATGTTTCTGTAGGGTCATTCCGTCTCAAATCAGCCAGAATTCTCAAAGTTTCTGTGCAACCCCTTTAGATTTCCCTTTCAAAAATTCTAAAAACACCTTGTTGTTCTGATTATTATAGTAATTGTACAGACGACGGAGTATTCAAACACAAGAACTTTATTCAATTCCTTTTCCTGAACAATTCAGTGTTGCTATAAGAAGCAAACAAAAAATAAACCTTACAATAATTCAACACAACAATGTCATTTGCTATGCGTAATTATCAAAGCAGCTCATTAAACATTCTCATTCTCATTTAAAGTAATACTTCACTAATCCTAGATTTGTTACAAAGCATCCAGATTTAATAAGTAAATGATTCATCATAAAGGTTATAATCATGGTATGTAAATGATTGTCAATTATTATACAGATTCTTTCAAAATTTCTTGTCATACCGGAAATTTTGATCTGTACACAAGTTTTCATTTAATCATAAATCCAATCTGAAATACAATTAATGCATAATACTATTAACATCTATCCAAAATAAAGCATCCAATACATGTGAATAGCCTATCTTCGACTACCTAATTAATATTCATGTTGATGTTCACTCAAGCGTGAAGAAAGAAAATGAACAGCGACGTTCCTCAAGGCCTACTCCCAGCAAGTTTTCCATTTTTCCAACTATAGAGGGTGCTCAGTAAACAATTAATTATTTCTAGACTTAACCAGCAATGAGCAAGAAATATAATGCGAGTAATCTTTTTCATTAAATCCATGTTTAGGAAGTGGTGGAATCAAGAAATCTGGAAAGAAATGACCACCGACTTGTGTTACTTCAATAGAGTGATAGGTGTGTGTGCTAGTGGACTGTCAATCAATCACCGACAAGAAAACTACTGTATATAATATAGTA